GCACGCCGGGAAGCGGCAAAACCCCCCCCGGGACAAAACGCCCGCGGAGAGGGCGGGGGGGGGGGGGGTTCGGGCACATCGTGTGCGGGGGAGGTGCGGTCGCTCTCTGCCTCATCGAGGCGTGTTCGATTTTGATTGCAATTCCTTCGATGTGGCAAGGTGCTACAAGCAAGCAGGGCTCCGGAAGCCATCACTCCGTTGGAGAAGAATTACTGTAATATACAACAAATGAGTGGTATATTAGCTGTTTGTGTGAGCGTGCGGTAGGGAGGCTTTGAAGCCGGGTTGTTTACATCGCTCTCTGGTAAACGCCTTTTCTGTTTGTTTTTTTTTGTGTTGCGTGGTTGTGTATCGGTCCCAATCGAATCGATCTATCGACCGCCCCGTCGCGAAAACCAGAGAGGGAGGGAGATAGAGCCATTTGCGGTCACGTTGCGCACTCCTCGCGGCAAGTTTCGCGAGCGAAAGAGAGAAAAAGGCGCCGCGCTGCGGGCGCAAATTAGAAAAAAAAGTAGGCACATCTTCCCCTTTTGCTCTTAGCTTTCACCTTCGTGTCCGTGTTTTTCTGTTGTCTTGTGAGGGGAGACTCATGTCCAATGAGGGGGAGAGCAGGTATGTTTTACGCGAGCATGCCCACCCACCATTTGTTCGACTGCCGCCGACATAAATACGCGGGTCCGGGCAGCACACCGGGGTAAAAGAGAAAGGTCGCCGGTACCCAAGAGCACCGAACGGTGCCTTGCACCCAAATAGCTGTCGTTCCATTCTTTTTTTTCTGTGTGCTCGCTTCTGTGGGTTGGTTGCTGTCTTCTTTTTCTTTTTGTTCGGTGCGTGCTGGGGTTTCGTAGTTTTTGGGGAGGCAGTGTGACGATGACAGGGACGTGCAGCGGAGAAGGACAGGGGAGGGGCGTTTTTTCTTGCATTTGGCGTTTGGTGGGGCGGAGGGCTACGGCCGATCGGACGGGCGGGTTGGACGGGCCGAACCCCTCCTTCTCTAGGTCTTAATGGCAAGGGCGGAACTCGCATGACATGTCGGGTGAAGGCCTCTATCGCCGTGATTGTTTCGATGTGCACACGTGTTTTTAACAGTCAAGACCTGTTTG